GCTAGTTGTGAGAGAGAGGGGAGAGATGGCCAGGAGCAAGCAAGAGACATTGAGAGAGGGAGGGGGGACAGTGGACAAACACAAAGAAAATGTTGGGGAGAAAGGAAGAAATTGTGAGCTGGCAAGAACATCTTTTGTATCAAAAAACAAACTTACACGTGATAGAAATGGACGTGGGAAAATGGACTTATGCAAAATTTCCTTCGTCTTTTGTGAGAGATCATATTTTTTCTAAAGGACTCAAGTAATATAATAGTAATGTTAGTAAGTAAAATTATTACAATCTACTTGAAATAGGTTGTCAGAAAACTGTAATATTTACCCTATCTTGTAATTACTATATATGTCTTGTTTAAGTCTTATAATCCATTATATTCATGTCAAATAATTCCTTAAGAATATATTTCAATTACAATTCTGTTCCTACAATATATACTTATCTCTGTCATAAATAAGTATAAAATGCATTATATAGCTCACTAATACTTGTCAAATAGACAAGGGTATACAATTGTCTGTTTGATTTTGTGATGTAACATACTTTGTACTTTCTTCTCAAAAATGAGAAGAATTAAGAATTGTAGGAAGCAGATACTTTAGTCATACTATGTAATACATGTAAAAAACATTTTTATACTATAATGTTACAGTTCTTTACTCTTACACCTTTAGTTCCAAAGGTTCTGTACTCTTCTCCTTCTGTACTAGAACTCAGGACTTCTGTCCCTTAGGGGTACTGTCTATAGACTATATATATACTGACTCTTACTACTACCCCTCCTTACTTTATCATTCTATTCCTTTAACCACCCTTTCATTCTTTGTTCATTCTATAGTCTCTTACTCTTTGTTCATCCCTTTATTCTTTGTACCTTTATCTTTGACCTTTCTTTCTTTCATTCTTTGTGACTTATCATTCTTAGTAGCTTATACTCTCTGAGTACTCTTGTGTAGTTTAGTATATATAGGTGTATAAGATCAGACTAGTTTAGTAGTCTTGATCTTGTCTACTCTAGATAGTCCTGTACTCTTAGACTTACTCTATATACTCTACTCTTGTCTCACTCTCTCTCTCTATCTGTTCTGTAAGTTCTAACTATGTTCTAGTACTTACATTCTGTATTTCTGTTGTGTAGAATAGTTGTAGTCTGGGTCCCCTTACTGAGCCTGTAAGTCCCCTCTACACTGTTACTAACATTAGATTAAGACTACTTATTACTACTCTATAACTCTCCTACATTTTGGGTATTAGTACTTACTATTGTGTTAATCTCTTTTCTTTGTCCTAACCCTCTTACATTTTTAAATTTTAAACTTTCTAAACCCTTTTAAACTTTTACCACCCTTCTTTTATTTATTACCCCTTTTAGTTTAGTACTAATTCCTTTATAGTGTAAACATAGACTCTTCTATACTAACTGCCACCCTTACTGTCCTGTCAGATTAGTAGTTGTGAGTAGACCTAGCTTAATACATATAGACCTTTATTTAAGAGGCCTTTACTAACTATGTACCTTTAACCCTCTTAGAACCTGTTCTAATTGTTTTAGAAGTTACAACCTGTTTTAGAAAGAAAGTATATATAGTTTACCCTTTAGACTTTAATAGGTAGCACTTTAAGGACTTCTAACACTAAGTCAAACTATACATAGTTACTACTTTAACTAATCTATTCTTAGATCTTGATTGTGTTCTATTTGTCCTCTCTTTTATAAAAGAAGGTAATGTGGCCACCTAGGCTTAGAACTAGATTAAAGAACATTAGATTAGAAGCCTGATCTGACTTTAGAATAATGAGTTGTATTTAGAATTCATAGAGTAGCTCTGTGTTTCCTTTATCAATCTGAATAAGAAGTATAATGTATAGAACAAGCTTGTGTCTCTGTAACAGAGTAAACATTCTGTTAATACTTTTTTTCAGGAGTTTAATATTCTAGCCTAAAAGGTAGGATTTACACTTAGGTTTAATAATGTTCTTATTAAAATACTTGAAAAAGCTCTTCACCTAGAACTAGTTAATAAGATTCTTAGAATAATGTTAGAACTGGTTACTTATACTAAGTAGAAGACACACACTATTTCCTTCAACTAAGCTGTAGCTTGAATATATTAAGTCTGTATAGAATACTTATACATGTGTTTAGCTCTAACAGTTCTAAACCCTCAGATTAATTTGCCTGTAATTTATAATCAATCTGTTCTGATAAACATTAAAGAAGTCTAAAAGTAAAGAGTATACTTTATCTACAAATAGTTAGAGTACTAAATTAAGGACTACTTATAAAAGTAACAGTATATCTGTCAGGTTATTAGAGTAATAATAAGTAACAAGTAGGATTTGTAGTAAGAAGCCTTTTCTACAAATTTGAAAGTTATCTTAAAACTTTTAAACCCTAACTATATACTCTAGAATTTTATAAAGGCCTAACAGTAAATATAGTACTAAAGGGCTATAACTTAGATTTTTTAACAACTACTTTTGATTCAATAGACACTATAGGATTAGAAGTAAATAAAGTAAGAAAAGTAGAAAATATAGAAAAAGTAGAAAAAGTAAATTAACAAAATTATTTATTAGAAAGAAAAAAGTTGAAATTAAAAGTAGATAGTTCTCTTATTTCT